CTCTACTAAAAAAGTAGAAAGAAATTAGCTGGATAACTATATATATATATTATATATATATTATTATTATATATATAAATTATCTGGGCATGGTGGCACATGCCTGTAGTCCCAGCTACTCAGGAGGCTGAGGCAGGAGGATTGCTTGAACCCAGGAGTTTGGGGTTGCTGTGAGCGAGGCTGATGCCATAGCTCTCTAGCCAGGGCAGTAGAGTGAGACTCTGTTTCAAAAAAATAAAAATAAAAAATTTATAATCCCTAATAGGTTTTTTTCTCATTTTAAATATAATAGATATTTGCTTCCATACCTAATTTTGTATTTCTAATTTGTATTCTTCTTTTTTTTTCTTTTTAAATTTGAATAGGACTGCTTTATTATATAATTTAAGACACAAATATTACATGAATTGCAAATGAAGGCTTAAAATATTTAGCAGCTACAAAAACCAGATAACTCATACTATACATCATTCCTCCCATATATACTTTTAACCTGTATTCAATTACAGTCAATTCTGAAGTGGCTCACCTCTGAATTAGACTTCTAAAGTCTTTTCCCCTAGTGAAAGACATGAATAAAAGTGAAAGGTTGTTTTTTCTGCTGGTTTTAGATTGGTTTGTTCTTCCTTTTCTAGCTCCTTGAGGTGTGACGTTAGGTTGTTAATTTGCTTCTGTCTTTTTGATGTAGGCATTTAAGGCTATGAATTTTCCCCTGAGGAATGCTTTTGCTGTGTCCTGAAGATTTTGATAGCTTATGTTCCCTTTGTTGTTCAGCTCAAAGAATATTTTGATTTCCATCTTAATTTAATTCTTAACCTAATAATCATTCAGTAGCAGGTTGTTTAATTTCCATGACTTTGTGTAAACTTGAGTGTTTCTCTTGTGATTGATTTCTAGCTTTATTAGGCTGTGGTCTGAGAAGGTCCATGGTATGATTTTGATTTTTTTGAATTTGTTGGACCTGTTTTGTGTGTGGAGTATGAAGACCCAAGTGTCACATGAAGCCACCTCCTCCACCTCCTCCACTGGGAAGGAGTGTGGGAAATGATCAGTTCCAAGGACGACAGAACACATGAACTTTATTGTCTAACCAACATCATGTGAAAAGCTTTTTTTCCCCTCTTTTTCTATGTCCTAATACAATTTAAATGGAACTTTTATATACATTTGGGCTTCTATCTAATCCCTCTCCTGAATTTCCTCAGGAGGAATTGAGTAATGAAAGCAAGCAAAACAAGATTACAAGCACAAATGACTACACTTTAAACATGATTATCACTTTTAAGGGACAGAGACACTTGAATGTTTTTTAATACCAAACTTTTAAAAAATCTGTTATAAAAACTGCAACTCATCTCCCTAGCATTTTAAAATGCTGGTGTTATTTCTGCGTAGACAAATTAATGTATTAAATTAAGCCAAGCTTTTAAAGATTGGCACAGTTCCATCATTCTATTTTAAAAAACATAGATGTTTAAAGACAAAAGAAAATACAAGTTAGTTGCTTCACTTTACATTTCACAGCTATTATATGAAATATTTTCACTTCTATAGAAAAGGGTCATTTATGTCACAAGTGCAATTATTTGCTGCTAGATGTTTAAAATGACACAGATTAGTGTTCAACTGGAACCTGTTGATGGTGACGTGTTTAGGTTTTCTGAGTTTCTGAGATTCTGAGTTTAAGGTGTGCCAGGTACTCTTCTAAGACCACACTTGCAGGGGGAGTAAATCACAGATCAATTTCTCAAGACTGTTTCACTCTCTTCATGACTTTCTGTTTCTTGGTGATCTGTTCAAAATTTCATCCTCCTCTGCTTTGGGTTTTCTATCTTCCTCCTCTTGATGGGTGGTGCCACCATCTTCTTCAGCACCACTTTTCTTTTTTTCTTTCTTTTTTTTTTTTGAGACAGAGTCTCACTTTGTTGCTCAGGCTAGAGTGAGTGCCGTGGCATCAGCCTAGCTCACAGCAACCTCCAACTCCTGGGCTCAAGCCATCCTCCTGCCTCAGCCTCCCAAGTAGCTGGGACTACAGGCATGCGCCACCATGCCTGGCTAATTTGTTGTATATATATTTTTAGTTGGTCAATTAATTTCTTTCTATTTTTAGTAGAGACAGGGTCTTGCTCAGGCTGGTTTTGAACTCCTGACCTTGAGCAATCCTCCTGCCTCGGCCTCCCAGAGTGCTAGGATTACAGGTGTGAGGCACCACACTGGGCCAGCAGCACTTTTCTGTTTCTCAAGTTTCTCTTCTCCTTCCTCCTACTTATCTCTCTTATTCTTTTCCTCCTCCTTGTCTTTCTCCTTTTCCTTCACATCTGGTTGAGGAACATCAGTCTTCTCATACTCCGCAGCACTGAGCTGTTTCTTTCCAGAACAACAGAAGAGTATCACAAGGGACACAGGCAGAGCCACAGTGAAATGTCACCAGCCAGAGCCACGGGAGCTCTCCAGCTGCCACGATCATCTGCGTCGCTGTGCCTGGCTCGGCAGCCCCATCAGCAGGTTTTCTCATGCCCCGTCCATCATTGGCACAAGTGTCAACTGCTCTTCGATCAATAGACAATAAAGTTGCCAAAATAATGTCAGAGGTCTTGGACCACAGCTCCAAACCAATAGCACTAAAAGGAAACATTCCAAGGGGTTCGAGGTCTTCAAAGAAATCTGGATTTGGTGTTTTCCGGGGTTTGCAGATTCCATTTGCCCTTATAATTGTGATTGTCAATCATAGGCTGCTGCCAGGCACCACACCCAGGAACTGACTCACATGTTGGGTTGGCAATCCAAGGAACCTCCCATTCTCCATCCATGTCTTCATCCCAATCCTTGGCTTCTCTGCATGTGGATCAGGCATGCACTTGGGCTCAGCATTTAACCAGACTTAATGTTTTCTGGCCTCTTCATCTGGGATCTTAGCAGGGGCATCTTCATCCCAGTCCTTGGGCTTGAAAGCATCTGGGTCTGGTATTTTTGATCTTTCATCCCAATCCTCAGGCTTCTGGTCTTCCAGGCCTCAATTTCACATGAAGGATTTACAGCAGGAGTCATGTCATTTAGCAGATTTCTACTGTTCACAAGAGATTAGTCGACTAATATTAAATATGTTAAAACTATTATCTGGATTCAAGATTAGTGTGTAAAGGATGTGTTTTCTTATCAGTAAAACAGGTCTTCAGATCTGCACCTGGCCTTTTAACATGCTTTTTTCTTCATAAATACCCATCTTGGGGTTCTTGTGGTGAAAGATGAAGCGCAATTTATAACCCTCTCTGCATTTATCTGGATCAAACATAAATGTATAAGGAATCTTGTTGTAGAACTGATCCAGGTTGAATTCTGGTGTTTTATGATGTAACAGAAAGCAGTTCCACATGGGCACCACCACCTTCTTTTTCATTTTGGAAATTAACCTCATACCGAACAATGAGAGGTTTACCATCAAATAGGGAGGGCTTGTTCAGTTTGGCGAAAATGGCATGGGATTTGGCCTGAGACATCAATACAAGTCTTTTATCGCCTGGAAGTTTTGATTCCTTCATCTCATCTACCTCCCACTTTCCTTCGTATTTATAAATTTCATCATCAGTATGTTCTTTCTTGGCTTCGGATAAAATCCATCCTGACAGAGTTCCTCTATCAAAGGAATCAGCAAAATATACTTTCCCTGTTGGAACTGGAGCTTTGTAGGTGACCTTTGCAGATGGAAGAGCAGTGCTGGTAACTGGTGTCAAGTCTTCTACCTCTTCAATGACATTGCCAATGTCGTCCTTGATATCAATTACGTCATCATCATCTCTGTCATGAGCCTGAGCGATAGCAGTTCCAACGGTCAGTAACATACACAGTAACCACTTCCCTTCTATGATCTCGAGCTTCCTGGGGACGCTGGTGGAAACCAAGCCTTCTCCACCCACACACCTGACCCCACGAGGAAATGGAGACAGTGACAGAGGGGACCTGACCGTCAAGCTCCGCAGAACCAAGAGGCCTCAGCTACCAGTGCCACACAAGCAAGCCCTACCATACAAAGCCCTGTATTCTTTTTCTTAAAGACGACTCTCCCTAAGCCCTCACAATACTTGCAAAGAAACTAAATATTCTACCTCCTAGTCTGATGAACTTGGCAGCCTTTGAGATCTAGCCAGTCCATTTACACAGTGTCAGAACCAGAAGTTACAGTGGAGAATCTGACCAGTGGTAATTTCCACTAAGAGTAGGTCATTTTTTGTTTCCCAATGACTTATCCATGTTGAACAGTTTGATGCCAAAGATTGAGAAATTTTCCCTTCCCCACCCCCAGACCTCCACCCCAGTAGTTTTCCTTTTCACACACGCCTCTTCATTTCCTGATTCTGGCCTGGACTTGAAGCAAAGGTACCTGAGTCCAGCCAGAAACACTGTTATTACAATAGTTTTGGCCTAATAGGGGCAGGAAATACCAACAACCTCCTGTGAGCTCCTCCCCAGTGGAGAGCCAACCTGAATGCATAAACTCAGGGCCCTTGCATAAGTCAGAGGATGCTCAGATTAGACCTGAGTATTTGGAAACACCTTTCCTCCGAATCTTTTGAGGCCACTGAGTAGTTAAGGAATCCCCACAATGAAATGGTGAAACAAGGAACTATAGTAATATTTTTTTAAATGTAAATCCCCAGGGAAGGCCAAATAGCATTTCTACTAGAAGTATTGTTCCAAATACTAACTTTAATTGTTAATAGAAATGATATTTTCAACAAAAACAGAGAATATTCAGGTCTTATTACTTGAGAAAAAGAATTATCAGATTTATTATCCAGACCTTGCACAATTAAATATGTTCGCTTCAGTCCCTGGCTTCCAGGTAAAATGAGAGACAGAGAAAGAGAGAGAGAGAGAGAGAGAGACAAATTACCCCTGCAAACTCCCTGATCCTCCCCTGAAGACTATAAGCTAATTCAAAAAATATATCCCAGCAGGCTATGCATCTTGCTTTCAGTCAACCACGTCACTATCAAACTGAAGTCACCAATATCTGCATTACAAAGTTTGAAACTTAATCCTCTTCTTCAACATTACCTTACATCCCTGACACGGGTATTTATAATAATCTCTCTTACTTCCACCTGGGGCAATTTTGAAATCTTTATTGTTGTTTGCAGTGTTTAACATAATTGCTTTGTAGTTCTGTGTACGACGCTAGTACATATTATTCAGGTAGAATAAACATTTCAGAATTGGAATTGGCCTTGTTGCGACCTGCCTAATGAATCACTCTGGGTTCCCAGCACCGCCGCAAGGCGGTTCCCCAAACTAATTGGGGAACCCTGTTTACACTGATTCAAGTACATGCCTGGGCTGGGCTGTTGGAACTGCTTCGGGGAAGAGCACTGAGGCGAGGCCTGTAGGCAGTTAATTCTCGCCCAGAAGTCTGAATGGTAGTGGAGGGTATGGCATGAGTATTTCAAAACAACTCTCTCCACGGGAGGCCTGCACTTTTTCTCTTTGTATAGTTGGTTCTGAACGTACTTCCATGACTTCTGTTTGTTTAGCTCCTGAATATTTTAGAGTTGATGCACCGCCCACTGGAGATGGTCTCAAGACAGAGAGTGAGACTGGCCCGGAGAGTGTCCATCTCCTGTAGAGTTCCTTATCCAGAGTGAGAACTCAGCTCTGCATCTGTGGAGAGATGATTGATTGAATAAATGAACAAACACATCAGGAATGAGCAGAAATAGGTGTAGGAGCTAAACTTTATGGGAAATGGAGCCCTGGCAACCCCAGAGGCTCACTTAGACAAGAGCCTGCTAATCCTAGTGGCATCTTGGTGTGTGATCAGGGCCCACCAAACAACCCAGGCCAGAGGTAAAGAAGGACTTGCCTCTCCCTAATCATACTAATGCCAAATGAATATGACTGTCACTGACCATCAGTGATACTGAAATCTATATTATCCATTTTATAACTTACTGCCCCTGGCTATTTTCCTCCACTCACGCACTGCCAACTTTTCACCCTTTTGAATATTCATTCCAATCTCCTCCCAAAGTAAAAGGATTAGGGAGGGGGTTTGTTTGTTTGTTTGTTTGTTTGTTTTTTGAGACAGAGTCTCACTTTGTTGCCCAGGCTAGAGTGAGTGCCCTGGCATCAGCCTAGCTCACAGCAACTTCAATCTCCTGGGCTCAAGCAATTCTCCTGCCTCAGCCTCCCGAGTAGCTGGGACTACAGGCACACGCCACCATGCCCGGCTAATTTTTTGTATATATATTTTTAGTTGGTCAATTAATTTCTTTCTATTTTTAGTAGAGACAGGGTCTTACTCAGGCTGGTTTAGAACTCCTGACCTCGAGCAATCCTCCCTCCTCGGCCTCACAGAGTGCTAGGATGACAGGCATAAGCCACCATGCCTAGCTTAGGGAGGGGTTTTTTTGTTTTGTTTTGTTTTGTTTTGTTTGAGACAGAGTCTCGCTTTGTTGTCCAGGCTAGAGTGAGTGCCGTGGCGTCAGCCTAGCTCACAGCAACCTCAAACTCCTGGGCTCAAGCAATCCTCCTGCCTCAGCCTCCCGAGTAGCTGGGACTACAGGCATGTGCCACCATGCCCAGCTAATTTTTTTCTATATATTAGTTGGCCAATTAATTTCTTTCTATTTATAGTAGAGACAGGTCTCGCTCTTGCTCAGGCTGGTTTCAAACTCCTGACCTCGAGCGATCCGCCTGCCTCAGCCTCCCTGAGTGCTAGGATTATAGGCGTGAGCCACCACGCCTGGCTATAGGGAGGGTTTTTAAACCCAGTTTTTCTCTTAATGAGATACTCTTATGAAAAGAGACCAGGAAATGGGCAGGGGCAGATGGGTGGGGGTACAGAGAAGAGAGTGAAAAGCAATTTGGATGTAGCTGTGGATTTCAGGTTGTAATAGAGCAAATTCTCTCCAAGTTCATTGAAAGTAGAAGAGGTAAGATCTATCCAAGAGGTAATGTCTATTCAATAAATCTGGAGTTTGCCCATCAGTCAGGCTCAATGTGATCATAATCCCCAAGCCCACTAAACCTGGGAGCAGAATGGAATACAAGCATTCACAAAGGGACCTCACCATATCACAAATGAATAACAAAATCACACCAAAGAGGATGGGGAAGAAAAGAATTAACCTGAATTGGGAAATAGAATTTTGTCTATATAGTAAAAGGCTAAAGACAAATGAACTATACACATACATTATACTCAAGTAAATCTGTGTCTCTTAGGTGGATGAGTTAGCAGTTCTGAAACTTGTATGTGTATAGTAGGATTGAACAAAAGTAAATCTATTGTGGATAAAGAGAACCAGGTTTCTCACTGTGAGAGAAAGGAGTTACAAATTAGGAAAGAGGAGGGGAGGCTAGAATGAATGCTGTGGATCAAAAGCAGAAGTATCAGGATGAATGCATGGATGTAAGAGTGTGTGTGTGTGTACAGATGGGCTACCTTTAGCAGTGATGACCTACAGCCCTACGCCCCTCTCCACCCTTTTTTGGAGGGAGGGCTCATCTAGAGTCCTTGGAGAGGGAAGGAAAATATATTTTGTCAGTGTTTTTAAAGAAAATAGATACCAGGGTGTCAGCAAGGCACAGCACTGGAGCAAAATTGCACAAAGGGGGAGGGAAGTGGGAAAATATTAGTACCAATCACAGAATGAAAGTCCACGTTCCCAAGATAACCTCCATCCAGGGGCCATGATCTAGGTACTATAAACTTCATTTACTGCATTTCAACTCTCAGAGACTACTGCTTACTTGTAGGACATACTCATGATCTGTATATTTGTTTAAAGGTGGAAGGCCTCCTGTTTCAACTTTGTGGGAGAAGAGCAAACCAAACTTTTAGGCCACTTTTAAGCCATTTTTGAACTAATGAATGATCCAAATGAAAAGCACAGCTATTTAGAAGCAGATCTCAGAGATCCCTCACACAGATAGGCTCGAGAAACTACAAGCAACCAAGTTACTTTCTCCAGGGAACTTTCCCATCTATTAGTCACTTGCACATCTTAGAAGAGAGATTAGTCAAACAGAGAGGCTCCATGCCACACGGAGTGAATCACTGCCGGTTCTGCGAAGTCTCTGAGGGGTACTGACAAGTAATCCACTCCTCTGTTTCCAAAGAAGGATTTATTTACGCATGAGTTCAAGAGTGAGGGAAGATAACTTCATATCAAACTGAGACTTCAATGAGATAATTAGCAGGTACCCAAAGACCTCTGTTGATGGAGGGTGTGGTGGCAGCTACTTTCTACCATACCAGCTCTGTGATCTCTCCAACCTAGGATTGTTTTGTTTCTGTCCTACCACTTAGCAGAGAGACTTCTGTACTAAGTATCCCTGTCCTGTAACTTCTCTCTTAATCTGACCCACAGCTCCAAGAGACCATGAGGGTTTAAATCAGACTTCAGTGTGTTTATTCCCTTTGCCTGATTGTGGTTAAGCTAAGAGTTTGACAGTAGAAATATAATAGGAACAGGAAAGAGATAATCATACCCAAATCACAGGGTACAAAGCCTACCCAGCAGCTATAATGCTTGTGCACAGTGCTGTTTTGGATCTCAAAGCTACGCGCCTAGAAAGAGCACAATTATTTACAAAATTTACCCTAAAGTACAGCTGGGTGTTCAGATTTTTGAAATTTATTAGAAAATGTATTTCAGTGGAGCAAATTGAAATCTATTGAGTATAGAATAATGGCTAAACCTAACATTCAGGATTCATGGACCCAACAAATATTGGTTGTTCTGGTTGTACCTGACTCTATCTAGTTGCTAAGGAAAGAGATGAACAGAGAGATAGTCCTTGCTCTTGACAAGCTTATGAATGGGAAGAGGAGACGTAAACAAAATGAACCAATAATCTGATGCCACATGACCTGTGAGAAGGATTCAGAACAGCATAACGGAGAGAGCTTTTAATCCTCGTGGTGCCACGTGTAGTAAAGAGAGGGCCCTGCAGAAACTGACAGCTGAGCAGTCACTGGGCATCCTTTGGAGAAGGAAATGGAGGAGGAGAGGGACAGGGCTTTCTTGGTAGCAAAGATAACAATAGGTGCGAAGTAATGGAAGCATGAAATAGTATCTTGTCCTCTAAATCTCAAGTTGGTGCTACTAGGAGTTTCATAGTGAAGCAACAGGAGTCAAAGAGATGGCTGAAGTGTTATATCATTCCAAGTTTTAACTCCACAAGTCCTTACTGGGAAGATATGGGCCTCCGTCTTTTAAATTAAGGCTCCCTCTTTGTAATTCAGTTCCATGATCCCAATGGTCACGACACATTCCAAAATTCTCTCAAGCAAAACCTGCTGCAGAAGATGAAATAGGAGATTTATCAGCCTAAAAACAAACCAAAAAAGAGTCTCTGTGGCTTTTTGTAGACATTACATTAGATGGAGCAAGGCTGGCATTACAGCCAGCAAGGAAAATTACAAGCAATTTATACATGCCTCCAACTCATCGTCTCAATGTGTCCTGAAGAATTCATCAAGCTTCAGAGAATCACAGACTCATCCAAGGTGAGGTCATCATGTTGATGTTGGCTGGCTTAGAGAGCAGGTTTTGTCAGCCGTATATCAGAGAAAGGGCCCAGAACGGTAAGAGGCAGGCTCCAAGCTAACCATGGGCTGAGCTGGTTTCAATGGCTCTTCCATCATCACTTATAGGAGAGTTATTTTTACAGGAGAACGTCACTAGCAAAACATAAGCTGGCTTTCACTTTAAAGGAAAGATGCCAGCCTCTAAGCTCATTCTTTAATTGCCTTCTACGTAAGAGAAGAGGTTGTTAGTATAGCGAACAAGCCAGAACAGGGATGCGGAAGCCAACTGTTCTGGACTCCAACGATGCGAAGTTCACTGGGAGGTGTGGTCTGCAGCCAACCACGGGATGCAGGAGATTGGAGAAGAGCTCTCCTTCCATTCAGTCCCACGGCAGAGTACGCAGCCTCCTTGCCTTTGCGAAACAACCACTGGAGACTTCTCAGAGAGATGCTACCAAGACGCTTCAGCCTGGAACACAAGTGAGTCACGGTTTGTACAACTCAATGGTGCTGCCAACCGCCTCTGCTCTCCCTCACAGTTTTTGTTTTCTTGGTATGATAATTAGTAGTTGGCACTATGAATGTGTCTCCTGAGGAAAAAAAAAATGTGGGCACCTGTTATTTCTGGAAGGAGCGTTCTGCGCATCCTATGGAGGTAAGCCGTTCACTCAGAGTTCAAGTGCTGACTAGCATATCGTCACCAACCCAGAGCTCCACTGCCCTCACGCTATGTTCTCACCAGCCCAAGAGAGGAGAACACAATTTCAGCTCCTACTTCCTGTCTTCTGCTGAGGTAAACAGAGAGCAAGCTTGCTTCAGAAAAAAAAAAAACAGGAGTTTCAGAGTTACCAAAAACTCGAAGTTTATCGTCTAGTGCGGTTCCCAAACTGGACCACACACGTTAGAATCTCTTTAGGATCTTTTTTTTTTTTAAAAAAAAAATACCAATGCCTAGGCCTACTCTAAGAGCCATGGGGCTAACCAGGACACCAGTGCTCTTTCAAAGCCTCCCATGGGCTTCTAATGGGCAACCAATTCGAGAATCCCTGAGCTTGTTCATCAAGGTCATTCCAGATGAAACTGAGACCCAAGAGGCTGACAGATTGTCCCAAGGTTCCACGTCTTATAAATGTGCTCTTATCTTTGTGTCTGTCTTCTTCTAGAATATGAAATCCTTGAGCACTTGAACCATGATGTTGACATTTAAATCCACAGTGCCTACCAAAATATAGGTTTGATGAGGGCAGAAAGCCAGGAAGAAAAGGAAAAACCAGAATCTTTTCTTCCCTTTGCTCCACAGTCTCTCGCTGAGAATAATTGTTAAGATAAACTTGCTGTGAACTTTTTAGCCCTAGCAGTAAGTCATTAAATATCAGATTCCCCAAACTTATGACCCATTCATTTTTGGAAAAATTCCATGAGTCAGATTGTCCCCCAAATCCCAAGACAAATGCCTCTACCCTAATTAATCCAGCTGTTTGAAGCTAAGTCCCTGACCTTGTTCAATACCCCATGCCTCACTAAGCTCTCATTTTGTGGGGTCTCATTTATTTCCCTAGTTAAACTTGACATTTTCAAATTAATAGGCTGCTTAAAATGGCATGTCGTGCTTCAGAATCAAGACTCCAGAGTGAAGGAAAGAATTATGGGAAGTGTGTGCTGTGATGAAAAGACGTAGGCCTAGAGCCTGAGGTGTTGCTGAGGCCTCAGTGCAGGGTTCCAGAGTGTTCCCTGGCCTCACTGGCTCTATCCACCACCCACTGGGCACCTATCACCTGCTAGTCACATGGCATTCAAGTCACAGTCAGCCAGTGTGCTGTGGCCTGGGAACTCAGAATGGGGGCCCTGGAACTGTGCCCCAGATATTTCAGTACCCACCCATGTCCCCTCTCTTCTCACCCTGGCCACTTTAGTGCATGCTGGTCAGCCTTCCAAATGTCCACCTCTCCACTCCTGCATTCCTTTGCCTGAGAGCTTTCTCTGGACCCCGAAACCCACTTTGCCCATCCTTGTGGCAGACTGGAAGTGCCAGAGAGTGAGTATCTCCTCCCCAGCCCTACTAAGGCCTTCAACTTGAAACTGACAGGCATTGGGGTTTCTGGCTCCCATCCCCCATAAGTGCTGGAACCCTGAGACCCATGTTGAGTTTTCCCTGAGAAGCAACCCCCGTCATCTGCCCCCATCCCCTGGCCCTGCAATGTCACTTGGCTTGCTAACTTACCTTTTACTAATGCCTTCCCTTGACCGACCCTTTCCCGCTTCCTGGCTGGGGTTTCTAAGCATGTCCTCCAAATAATTGAATCCTGGTGGCATGCTCTGCTGCTGGGGACACCCAAGGCAGACACAGTGGCCCTGTTAATTTAAAGGCATTTGATTTCCGGAGAGCCATTTAACCTCTCTGACAGCAGCTCTCCTCAGATGTAAAAGAAGGGAAGGATTTGATGTCCCACGTGGTCATAGCAGCAGGCAAAAGGCAGCCTCATTGGGCTGCCAAAGCCCTCCCTGAATGGCAGGGTCTCCTGCCCTGGCCTCCTGGCTAAATGCACCCCTCCCCACACTCCTCTGGGCCACCTGAGCTCCTTTGAATTCTTGCAATGTGCCCTGTTCTCACTGGCACACGAGAGGGACTCACTCATGCTGTCCCTCTGCCTGGAACACTCTCCCTCCTTCTACTTCTTGGCTCCCTCCTACGTATCCTCCAGCTCTCAGCTTAAATATCACTTCCCGTGGGGAAGCCTTTTCTGATGCCCAGTCTGGGATCGCATTCTCGCTGTGTGTTCCCAAATATAGCACTCCATCATGGTGTTTGGCATGCCCATTTCCTTTCCGAGTCCTCCTCCCCCCCACCCCCAAGCACCATCATCACTAGTCTTTACACTCCTTGAGGGCAGGAACTGAATTCATTCTGCTTTCTACTGTGTCCCTGGTACCCAGCCTGAGGCCTGCCATAGCAGGTACTTAATAAATAACTGTTGAATAAAATGCATAAACTGGGAATGGTGGCTCATGCCTGTAGTCCCAGCTACCTGGGAGGCTGAGGCAGAAGGATTGCTTCAGCCCAGGACTTTGAGGTTGCTGTGAGCTAGGCTAATGCCATGGCACTCTAGCCCGGGCAAAAGAGTGAGACTCTGTCTCAAAAAAAAAAAAAGAATAAAATGTATGCATGTTTATTGAACATTTGCATTGGAAAATAAAAGGATCTGGGAATAAAAATTAATTTTGTTTTTTATCCTAAGGGTCCAGGCTGGGCCAGAAGCCACAGTGAGGCCCAGGGAATAAAAATTAAAACAAAGCTTCCCAATGTAGGTTCTGCCTAATGTGGCTTGTACTGTGACAAAATATGGATTTTTTGTCCCCCTCAGTTCTTCTGCTTTGAAGCCCAGGAAGAAGAGGGTGTGTAAAAGATGGGCTTCCCTCTAGTTGAGAATAGCTTTACCCTTTTATCCTACTGTGAGCTATCATTTTTAATTTTTAATTTTTTACTTTTAGGGATGGGGGGTCTCACTATGTTGCCCAGGCTGGACTTGAACTCCTGATTCAAAGGATTTTCCTGCCTCAGCCTCCAAAGTAAGTACTTGGGACTACAGGCCTATACTACCATGCCTGGCTTATCATTTTTAACATGAAAACTTTAAAAGTTGGACAGCATTGTGTTAAAATAATGAGCCCAATACTCATAAAAACGTGGAGTTGGAATGTGGAAAAGAAAGGTTAACAGCAAACATTGTACATGAGCAATGTTTGGAAGCAGAGGCCATCATATTTGTCAGCTGTTAGGGTCACTGCAGCCATCCTAGGTGCTGGCCTTTGTGACATTCCTTTGCACTTGGAGGCCTGATGGACTTTATCTCAATAATCCCCGGATCCTCTAGGAATGGGGCTGTGTTCAAAGGGCCACTCCCAGCCTTGTCCAATGCTTACCTCTCCTAGGATAAAGTCTAAATTTCTTAGCATGGCATCGAGGCCTCCTGGGACCCAACTTTGCTCACCTTTTTCTCCTGGCTCGTCTTCCTCCATATTCTGCCGCACACTTTCCTTGTCTGTTTCTTTGCAGGCCTAATGCTGTTTCACGTCCCTAGTAAGTTGCCCCTGCTGCTCGCCCAACCACAGAACTCTTTCCCACCCTTGCGTCAATTTTGCCTGCCAACCACTGTTCATCCTCTGGGACTCAACTCAAGCCCCAGGCAGCCTTCTCTGAGCTTCCAGATTGAAGCTCCCCTCTGGTTCCTACTGCTTCTGGATATTTCCTCCAGCACAACATTTATGTATCAAAAACATGTGTTTGCTATGCCCCACCTACTCCATCCCGACACTTTGTGAGCTTCTCAAGGACAGGGTGCACATCTTATTCACCTTCGTCTCCACAATGCCAAGCACAGGGCCTATTACGCTTCAATAAATGTTTGCTCAAATATAATGTAGCCCTTGCTTGACTACCAGCAGATACACTTTAAATAGATAGCTTGTGGTTGATTTACTAACAAATTATAATTAAAAAGTTGTTGCCAAATGCTCTTTTATTTTAAGTGCATTTAGTAAATTTGCCGAGATTGGAAAAGGAAAGTAGCTTGGCTTTTAAAAAGGTCCCATGATGTGCACAGGTCTCTCATTTCTGAATGCCGTTGTCCCAGACAGCAGGCCTGGTGAGAAACACCTGGGCAGGGGGAGCGCTTTCCAGGCATTGCACTACACAGCATAACGTATTCCTCAGATTTCTCACGTATTCCAGTGTGTGGCAAACACGACTGTACGTTGATAAGTCCCTTAGAAGGCTGTGTTCTATTTTAATCAAACCGAATAGGAGTAGTCCTTTGTTAAGATGAATGAAATCTGCAGCTCCGCACTGGAATTCATTTCCGAGGGAGGGGTTATCCAAGAAGGCTTGCTCCGGCCCCGCCCTGGCGCCCGGCCTAAGAGCACCGGAGGCCATCGTGTCCACACCCAGGCCAGGAAAGGGCAGGGTCCCATTCAAGGTTCAGCTGCAGTCCCTGGGGATGGGAGGCTGCAACACTACTTCGCTTGTCCCAGGCTTTCAGCACAGCTTGAGGTCTCCCGAGGTTGGGTTTCTGGGGCCCTGGCTCGTTCAGACCTGGCACACTCTCCACGTCCCCTGCAAACCATAACAGCAACGGTTTAGTGAGCTGTCATCGGACAATGACTGCACATTTTCAAAATACCTACCCTCCCTACACAGGTGGGGTACCTGGCATAATTTTCAAAATCACGTTCCCAAAGCTGGTGTGCAGGTGTGCTGGGGAACACGTGGACGATCTGACTCCACACCTGCACCCACGAGAAGGGATGTGTTAAAACTGTGATAGTCGATCCGTTAATACCAATTTGCTGGTGAGTACAAGTGGTGCTAGTTTTTCCATTCTTGAGATACTTTACTTAATAGAATGGGTTCCAGCTCTATCCAGGAATATACAAGAGGTGCTATATCACCATTATTTCTTAAAACGGATCAACACCTAAGTGGACATATAGGAGTAACATTTATCGGGTGTCGGGAGGGTGGGAGGGGGGAGGAGGGGATGGGTGCATACAACCACAACAAGTAAGACGTGCAACATTTGGGGGATGGACACGCTTGAAGCTCTTACTCAAGGGGGGGAGGGGGGCATGGGCAATATATGTAACCTTAACACTTGTACCCCCATAATACACTAAAATAAATAAATATTAATGGAATAAATAACAAAAAAAACTGTGATAGTCATTATAGATTTTGTGTTTTTCACATGTATCAGCTCATTTTATCCCCCTAAAAGCCATTTTAAGAAAAAGGTGTCCTCGTCTTCCCCCCGAGGAAGAAATTGAAGGCGAGAAGGACGGAGAGGCACAGCACGGCCAGGATCCGAGAGTGGGGGTAAGGACATACTTCATAAACATGCCAGGAACCATGAGAAATAAATTATCAAATCACTCACTGATAATTTAACTACAGTCTTAGGGGTGTCTAGTAGACCCCAAAATTGGCTCACAGTAAAGATAGCTGAGTTTTGCCCTGTTTTCTATCCTACTTTGCTCTAAAGTAGACTATAATTATGATGAGGCAAATGTGTTTGCAATTTTAGCTCCATGAATAAAAGAATTCACAGTGAATTCTCTGTTAGCACCAGGAATATGGCCTTAAGCGAAGACTCATTATCTCTTGCTATGAAGTATGATAGGCTGTCTTTAGATATCTGAGGATCTCAAGATGTCCACTTAGTCTGAAGGCCCAACTATGACTGCACAGTAGTAGGAAAAGTGAGGCTGAGACTAGGGTTTGAAGATAGCCCTTGTGAAAATGAGCTATTGGTCTCATGGGACCCTCCCAGGGCATGAAGTGCACGACAGATAAATAAACCCTGCAATAGAAGTGTTGCCTTTGTCCGTGAAACAACATGGTTGGTTCCTGCCACTTGTCCTAATGTGATAGCTGCTCTTTCTGGATTAACATCCTATTGATTAATGATGGCTGTTAAAAGTCAAAGCATGCTGAGGGCTGACCTCCAGGAAAGATTGCAAAGCTGTGTATATCTGATAAGGGGCATTGGGAAGGGAGAATGACACTGAAAAGAGTTTCCTTGATAACTCTGGTAATTAAAGATTTACATTAGAAGGAGGTCAGGTCATGACAATATCAGTTTTAATTTGTCAATAGGCAATCACAAATTGTAGTCACTGACAGCATCACCACCAACTTCCTAGGTGCCAATTGGCACGCCCCTTTCCAGTATTAGAGAAACGGCCAGCCCTGCTGGAATGACTTAGTACTTTTATTTCTAAGCAAGAACACAATACTATGTAGAAAAAATTAGGTCAATATTTAGCTTAAGCATCTTCTGGCAGTAGATAATCTTAAACATAGAGAAGATGTATGTTTCTCTTGACCCAAGCCTCACTGTGCAGCGTTGCTGTTATAAAGCCATCAGCCGTTACGTACCACAAAGGAGCTCAGGGCCTTTGCCCCTGCGGGAACTCTTCCCCAGTTAGCCACATGGCTCTCCCCGTGGCCTACATCAAGCCTTCATGCAAAGTCACCTTCCCAGAGATGCCTTCCCGGGCAATTCTTTTTAAATTTGAGCCTTTCCTCCACCAACCCTGGCACTACCAAGCTCCTTTCCCATTTTCTTTTTTCTCCATGATCCACTCTATTTTATTCCTATTTGTTTTGTCTCTTGTCTATCTCTCCCCACAAAGATATAAGCACCATGACAGCAGGGATATTTGTCTTTATTCCCCACTGCTAAAATCTCTGCTGTTAGATGAACCCTCAATACAATAGCATCCATTCAGTAACTATGTGTTGGATGGATGGATGGATGGATGGATGGATGGATGGATGGATGGATGAATGGATGGATGGATAAATGATCACCGGAGCCATGACCTCTTTTCAACTGTCTGGAATCCAACACAGACTATGTGATCATAAGTAAATAGAGGACAAGCTGATTTCTCAGTTCTTCTCTCTGCTTATTGGCGATTAAACCATCCTCTATACAAGCTAAACATATCATTTCAGTCCTGAATTTCTGTGTAGATCATATCCCAACATCATAACTTCTTCACTTATCCAGGACCACCCTGTGATAACGATCCTTTGGGGAAATCCTAGAAAAAAAATAGTATTTTCTAATTTGGTTAAAGGGATTAAAGTGGGTTACGGAAGACGTGTCTCTGTGGGACTTAAGTCTTTCTCTGTGGTGCAGGGTGGCATCTGCCCTCCCAAGGGCCAAACTGTGCATGCAGGTTAACAATCCAAGTGCCAGTGGCACTTTTTATGCACTTAAGAACTATTCATATTTGCCCATTTTAAATGTTTTAGATGCTAGTTCTTTCCTCTATGTATCAGGGACAGTGTGGCCACCAATGTCCTCACTCAAAGGGGAATTCCCAGTGGGTTCTGTTGGGCCTTTATTTGATCAGCGTTTCTTGAGCTTGGCACCACTCTTCCTCACAAGATGGCCTTGAGTGAGACCTTTTGACTGAATCCAAATTTTACAGAACAAATCCTTTTAATAAAGGGATTTTTCCTGTGAAGTCTGGATTCAGTCGAGGGGCCGCACTTGGGGATCTGGAGGGCCACATGTGGCTGTGAAGCCACAGGTTCCCCACCTCTGGCTGGTCCACATTCATATAGAGAACATTCTTGTATCGCAAAACTGAATGTGTCCAATATGAATAATATTGTGCAAAATAAAAATGAAAAGAGATTAACTTTTCAAGTTGGTGTTATTTTCCTTTTAAAGGTCTTAATACCCACCTCGGGGAAAGAGCATATTGCGTGATATTAAAGGCACTTGCATTTTTTTTGCAGTGCTACAAAGCTCTCCATTACTGAGGAAAAGAGATTTCCAGTCAATTAAATCATGAAGCAGAGGATTATGCAGTTTGAGTCCCAAGACATACAAAGTTTAAAGACGTTGTACATAGGTAAAAACTAATTGGGGAGAAGAAAAAGGGATGTGCTATGATACACGTTAACACTACAGGCCAGGCGCAGTGGCTCATACCTGTAATCCTAGCACTCTGGGAGGCCGAGGCGGGTGGATCACTCAAGGTCAGGAGTTCAAAACCAGCTTGACCAAGAGCAAGACCCCCATCTCTACTATAAAAATAGAAAGAAATTAATTGACCAACTAACATACATAGAAAAAATTAGCCGGGCATGGTGGTGCACACCTGTAGTCCCAGCTACTCGGGAGGCTGAGGCAGCAGGATTGCTTGAGCCCAGGAGTTTGAGGTTGCTGTGAGCTAGGCTGATGGCCACAGCACTCACTCTAGCCTGGGCAACAAAGTGAGACTCTCTCAAAAAAAAAAAAAAAAAAGAAAAAGAATGAAACACTACAGTAGTATCTATTACAAGCAGTCAAGGTATTTCTCTTCCATTGTTCCTTCATGTGGTTACCCTGAATGATATAACTTTTTTCCAGTAGAAATGAATCATGCACCTTTTAAGTTGGATGTGACTAGCCAAGTCTAGAGGGTTTTGGTCCATGAGTAGTGCACAGTCTGATGTCTGCTGTTGCATTTTGTTTACTTAGAATATAAATTAAATCTCTGAGTTGATATAAGCCAGTGGACAGACAGCAGGATGAAATTTTTTTTTTTCTTCTTTTTGCTCAAGAAACTAGGATGAAATTTTTATGGTGAGGAAAAGTAAAACACAGTGTATCTTCAAAAAAAAAATTTAAAATGTAAATTGCATTTCAAAAAAGGCTGGCACGTTGATTATTAAATGTTATTTAATCTGATTTTTTTCTCTGTTTTAAATTTTTTATTTTATTTTTTGTAGAGATGGGGTCTCCCTATGTTGCCTGGTCTAGCTCCTGGCCTCAAGCCATCCTCCACTCTTGGCCTCCCAAAAGTGCTAGAATTATGGATGTGAGCCACCCAGCTTAATCTGATTTTTTCTAAGAAATTCGA